TGATGTGTGAAATGTAGTATCTCTTTATAGGATGCAATTTTGACACCCAAGGAACGCCTTACTCTCAATTAGGCAAGTATATTTATTAAATACCCTGCACCGGTGCCTACTCCCTGTTGCTCATCTCTTTGGGTTTTGTTTTGGTTTTTTTTCTTTTCTCTTTTTAAATCTTGTAACTTTTCTTCAGGGAGCGAGGAGCGTTTCTTGCGCAGACCCTGCTTGCAGGGCGCTCTGGGATGTCCTGGCAGTAGGCAAATTCGGAGGAGGAAGGGTTTATTCCTTTGCCATATGATGTAAAGGCATTTTTAAGTTTTCCCCCATGATAGTTTTAAGGCAAAGCCTGAAATCAGTGCTCTGGAAGCGGCCCTTTAATTAAGACCTGATCCTCCTGCTCAAAGCAATACGCGTCCCAGTTGATTAAGGTGGGCTGAATGCCCAGGAGGTGATTAGCCCCTCTGCAGCTAATTGGAGCAAGGGGTTGGTGGTCCCTGCTTGCAAGGCCAGGCCTGTTCATCCCCTGGGAGATGGGACCCCCCCCATCCATTGGGATTCCCTCCTCGGGCATCCTGAGCCTGTCCTCCCTCCTTGACGCGAAGCGCTGAGAGGTCCCTGCGCTCGCTGGAGAACCTGGCAAGCAGAAATGGGGTTTATTCTCCTTCCTTCCTTCCTCCTTCTTCAACCTGACGTGCTGTTTTCTCTCCCGCATGCTTTTCCTTGGGAATGACCACAGTTGACATTAAAAAAATGGTGGCAGGTACGGAACGGCCCCCGCCGCGTGGCGGATGCCGGGGGGGGGGCCGGGTGCATGTGAGCCCTCTTGTCCAACGATCCAATAAACCACTGAACCAATCTCACCCGAGTGTTTTATTTTTCAAGCCGTGTTGACTCCTGCAGGCCTTGGGAGTGTTTTGTGGATGTGTCAGTTCCCGTTTTCAGTGACGGCTGGAAAAAACCACCTGGGGAACCGGGCTGGTGGCTTGTGAAACCCCCCCTCGTTGCCTCTGTCTTGTCCAGGACGTGACACTGTATCTGTCAGATTTGCAGCCAGCGATGTCCCGTGCATTTAAACCAGCAGTCGTGGAGGTTTCGGGGCGTTTCTCCAGCCTGCCCATGAGCTTAGCTCTTGTCTTACGTGTGGCCAAGCGGTTGCTCCGCAGGGAGGTTTCTCGGTGTGACGTAGCGTCTTGTGTCGATGTAGACCTCTGTATGTGCTTTTGGTCCCCAGGACTGCCAACCCTCACAGACACACGGTTCATAGAATCATAGAATGGTTTGGGTTGGAAGGGACCTTAAAGACCATCTCGTTCCAACCACCCTTCCATGGGCAGGGACACCTCCCACCAGACCAGGTTGCTCCAAGCCCCATCCAACCTGCCCTTGAACCCCTCCAGGGATGGGGCAGCCACAGCTTCTCTGGGCAACCTGGGCCAGGCTCTCACCACCCTCACAGCAAAGAAGTTCTTCCCCACATCTCATCTCAATCTCCCCTCTTTCAGTGTCAAACCCTTCCCCCTCGTCCTATGGCTCCCCTCCCTGACCCAGAGTCCCTCCCCATCTCTCCTGGAGCCCCTTGAGGGACTGGAAGGGGCTCTAAGGTCTCCCCAGAGCCTTCTCTTCTCCAGGCTCCCAGTTTATCTGCTGACCCTCATTCCCCATCCCACGCTGGGCATGACCCTGCAAACCTTTGCTTGCGCAAGCGCCCCATGATTGTAGGAAGAAGTTCTGTTATCTGGAGCCTGGAGACCTGGCTGGGATCACACATCTCCTTCTGCTAGGGCCAAATCTTAGGAGATGGGAAGGATCCTGCCAGCTCGGGAGGTGAGACAGACAGATGGTGGGAGAGGAACAGAGACAGACAGGCCACCAGGAGAGGAGCCAGAGCAAAACTCAGTCCCTCAAGCCTCAGCCGTGCTGCTCCAAGCATCCCTCCGTGATGGAAGGTGTCCTCCATCACCTCCTGCTCCGCTCAGCAGCTCCCTGCCCGCTTCTCCCCACCACCCTGGGGGGCAGCGGCCCAAGCCCCCCTCACACCATGCCTGTCTCCTCCCTCTCGGCCCTGCATGAAGCATGTGCTGTTCCGTGTCCCCTCCCCGTGGCCACCACCAGGTCCCCCCCCAGACTAACCTGATGTCCTTTGTGTGTTCCAGTGGCTTGGTTTTCTTTCGATCCCTCCTCCGCCCACGCCGACATCATCTTCTCTAACGACAACCTGACCGTCACCTGCAACAGCTACGACGACAGGGTGGTGCTGGGGAAAACGGGCTTCTCCAAAGGGCTCCATTACTGGGAGCTGTCGATCGATCGGTACGACAACCACCCGGACCCGGCCTTCGGCGTGGCGCGCATCGACGTCCTGAAGGATGCCATGCTGGGCAAGGACGACAAGGCCTGGGCCATGTACGTGGACAATAACCGGAGCTGGTTCATGCACAACAATTCCCACACCAACAGGTAGGTGATGGTCTGCAACGGGGTCTTCCTCCCAAAGAGCACAGCACCAGGAGGAGCCCGTGGTTTTTCTGGTGGCACCTATAGGCTGTTGGGAAGGGTGACATCGCTCCTGATCACCTCTATTAGAGGTGAAGGGAAGGACAGTCCCTGCCTCCCTGGTTCTGCCTTGCTCCAAACCTCCTTCCCTGCCCACTGTAACTCTTCCCATGGACAACCAAAGCCTTGCAACTGGTCAATGAGAAATTTTGTTTGCCTTTATCCCCTTGCCACAGCCATCACTCACATTCCCCCCAGGAACAGTGGGGCTGAGGACTTTGAAGCTTGCAGTAGCTTGGGGAGAGCCTGGTGTCACCTTCCTGCAGCCTCAAGGGCTATTTCCTGATGGGTCAGCAGGTTTTGAAGTGCTTTCTTGCCCAGGTCCACTTGCTTTCCCCTGTGATTGTGTAGCTGGGGTGCTCTGGTAGCCTCAGGGTGCTGTGGTAGTCTTTGGTGTCCTCAGGGCCATCATGGCAAGTGGAGAGCACTTCTATAGGAGGCTTGAGGAAGTGCCCAGGGACTTGCAAGTGTGGTTGGGATGGGTGCAGGTCATGGCCTGGCTCCTGGGTGAGCTGTGAAGTTCATCAGCATCATCCTTTGAGGTCTATGGCCTGAACCATGAGCCAGGAGCACAAGGGACATCGAGTCATGGAGATGTTCTGATCTTCTGCTCACCCCTGCAGAACCGAGGGTGGGATAACAAAAGGCGCCACGGTGGGAGTGCTGCTGGATTTGACCAGGAGAACCCTGACATTCTCCATCAACGAGGACCAGCAAGGGCCTGTCGCCTTCGAGAACCTGGAGGGCCTCTTCTTCCCCGCGGTCAGCCTCAACAGGAACGTGCAGGTATGGGCTTTGACCGTGCACTGGAGCACCACAGGCTCTCTAGTGCTGCTGTCACCACGGTGGGTGTTGGTGCTCAGCAGCATGGGGACTTTGTGGAGTGGGGAGGGCTCTTCTGCGACAGGGATGGCTTGGAAAGAGCTAAACTTACACCCTAAACCACCTGTGAGTCCCTAAAACCAGGCTGGGTCTTTCTGCAGCCGCAGCTGCAGCCTCCAGCTCCCTGCTCCAGGTTTCTCCATCAGGGTTGATGAAGCACCAGGGTTCTCCAGCCCTTCCTGGTTGATGGAGTTTCACAGCTGCGCCTCATGATACTACCCCACAAGAACCTCACTAGCTCTCCCAGGTCCCAGATAGGAGCCCTACCAAGGAGAAGGACACCTTTTAAAGCCTGTTTTTCCTCTGGGGAAATTTAAAACCCCTCTTCTCTCCCTCTCTCCCAAGCTCTCAGCTCTCCTGAACATCACCAAGTGGTGGCTCCCTGGGCCTATCCGGTATTTCCAGCTTTCATTTTTCTTCTCACTGACCTCATCCCTGCTGTCCTCTCCCCACAAGGAGTAACCCCCCGCCCTGTTCACCTAACCTGGCTTTGGCACATCCACCCTACCACCGCTTGCATCTCCAGCACCCCACAAGGCACATCCTGGGACACGTTGCATGTAACGGGTGACTTCAGGGTGTGGAGCACTTTGGTGTGGTCTCCTGCAGCGGGTGTCAAAGGCTGTGTGAGGGCAGAGGCACCAAGAGGCCTCTGTAAATTAGAAATCTGTTAATTAGGATGTTGTCCATCGAGATTAGGATGTTGTCCATCGAGATACACTGCCTGGTACCCAGGCAGTGCCCAGTTTTCCAGCAGCACTGGGAGTGGAGGTTGGTGGGTGCCATCTCAAACCCCTGAGAGCATCCCCACCGGAGCGTCCTGGTGTTTAATTAGGAAAGGTTAAAGAAGCACATCTTGGTTTTAGGGGCTTGCTGAATTAATTTGAGTGGGGTGAGAACCCCCTGCTCTGTGGTGGGTTTAATTCCTACCACGATCCCCTGCGTGGCCCTAAGACCTAGAGCCCCTCTGAGTCCTTCACTTCTCTGGCACCAGAGGATTCTCCTGGGACGCTGATAAAAGGCTGCTGAGAAACCCAAGCCCTTCGTCACCCTTCTTCAAAGGTGTACGAGTAATCAAAAATGACTCTCATGAGGAGGGAAATAATGGTATTTTTAGACAAAGTTTTCTATCAATCTGTGTCCGAAGGGGAAAATGTGGCTGTTCCGATAAAATAAGGAATTTTGCTTTCCTCCCAAATGGAAGTATTTGTGGAAGGAGTGGAATTGCCCACGCGTGGTTCCTCGGTGCGTGTGGGAGTTTGCAGGACCTGGCTCCTTCCCACCATCAGGTCTCTGGTGTTTCTCCACCATCAGGTCTCTGGTGTTTCTCCTCTTCCCCAATTGTCCCTGGGTCAGAGTCTCTGTCCCCATCCCCGGGTGATGCTGGGCCCCTGCCTGGCTCCCATTCTCGTAGAATCACAGAAGGGTTTGGGTTGAAAAGGAACGTTAAAGGTTGCACTTGAGCATCTCCCCACACCATAGCATGGTCCTGCCCCACACCCTGCTGCTGCTCAGCTTCGAAGGTCCTTCCTCCCACCGGCGCTCAGCCACGTCCCCTCCATTGGATGGCCCATCCTTGGCTTGGGGGCTTCTCGGAGGTCTCCTGAGCATCTTCATTGTCCTTCAGCCCCCTTTTGTCCATCCCACCTGGAGAAAGACCCCGCTGCTGCCGTGTCCCACCCCTCCCACCCCAGCTGGGATTATGTGGGGCTTGGCACCGCTGGTACCACCGGTCCCACTTCCCACTGGGGCTCCTGCAGCACAAACGAGTCAGGAAGCAGCAAGAAAGGGTTCTCAGCCATTGGAATGGGCTGCCCAGGGAGGTGGTTGAGGCCCCATCCCTGGAGGTGTTCAAAAGCCGGGTTGATGTAGTGCTGGGAGGTATGGTTTAGTGATGATGCTCCTTGTTTGTTGTGTGGGTGTCTATTTTTGTCAGTTAGGTTGACGGTTGGACAAGATGATCTTTGAGGTCCCTTCCAACCTAGAAGATTCTGTGAGATGAAGCCACCCCCATGGTCCTGGGGACATCCTTTGCCACCCCTCCCGGGCCTCGCCGTGGCGGGGAGGACCCGTGGCAGGGCAGGAGGAGCAGCCATGCCCTGGGACACCACTGAGCCCGTCCTCTCTCCTTGCAGGTGACACTCCACACCGGCCTCCCCGTCCCCGAATTCTACACTTCGCGCTCGGCCATGCCGTGAGGATGCTCCCGGAGCCGGCTGCCTCTTCTGGGGAGGAGGAGGAGAGGAGCCAGCCCCCTTCCCCCCTGCGAGACGAGGACGGCCACCGAGCCACCAGGTCCCTGCTGGGCCACCGGGTCCCTGCTGGGCCACCGGCCGGAGCCAAAACGGGGAGGAAGAACCCAGCTTCTGCCCCTCTCCGGTCTCCGTCCCCCCGCGCTGTCCTGTGTGTGTGCGCTTTGCTCTTTAGCTCTTTTTGGCTGATGAAGTACCCCAGTAGCCCGAGATGTTCCTCTGTGTCCGCTTTTAGGTTTGGTTTTGTTGATTTTGAGGCGGGGGTTTGGGGTTTTGGGG